TTAACAGTTCTTATATCCTTCCTGAGGCATCTGCACTGGTCACTCTTGGGCAGCAATAAGGACTTCTGTCCCATCCACTGGGTGAGCTGGACTTTCGGTCTGATCATATATAACAATTCTTATATACTTAATAGATAAAAGCAATCTGTCACACATCATAAAATGCAAAAATGAAATCTTAAGTATTTGTAAATATGTTTTTCTCTACCCTGCCTGAATATCCAAAACACTTCCTTTAGTCATATACAGGCCATGACATCAAAACCACTTTCAAATTCAAATTAGCAAAGCCCTTACCAGCCTTCTTTAAGCAGGTTATTCCTACCTCTCCCCTTTCCCAGGAAAAGCTGTCATAAATGTTTTCTTGGTCACTCTTAAAAGGAGGCGTAGGAAATTATTTGGTCTGAGAACCTTCCTTTTTGGGAGTATTTTGTTTGTTGTTAGTGCAGATTAACACCCAGATCTGAACAAAAAAATAGTTTGTGCTTAATAAATTCTGACTGTCCTAACCTTGGGGTGGAGAGGGGGTTAATGGGAATGAGTGTCTGGAGTCACATCTGGAGGAACTACACCTTGACCAGAGCAGCTGAGGGTAAGTCAGTGTAACCAACTGTACCCTTAGAAGTTGCCATGTCTTTTAAGAAGAGCACGACGTGTATGTCTTCAGCATATTAATAACCAGCCTAATACTCAGGCAACAATATTCTAATTTGAACTGAAGACAGAAAGATAAGGTGCTTTGCCAAAAAGTTTATTTGTAATCAACAAAATTTATTGTAGCCTTTAACAGAAATTTCTGTTGTTTGTGGCCTCTTGTTTTAATCTATGATTTTTCAACTGTTCTTTTCTGAAAAAAATGTGTAACTAAGTAATAAGAATAGGATCATTTCATATAACTATTGTATACATCTTTCTATCTCATACATAGGCTAACTCACAGAAATTGAGAGATCCATCTCTACCTCAAGGAAATCAAGTTTATTTTGACTGGTGGTATAATTTTATGCCAATAATGCATTGGCTGCTTTGAAAAAGAAAAAGATTCTACTTTAACATTCAAACCCCACTGCCACATGTGCATATCTTGTCAGGTGTACCCTGGCTGGCTAAATGAGGAGTCCATGGTTGGGCTTTAAATTTTCAGTTACCCATATGTAAACTGGAGTGAAGTTCCAGAACAGTTTAATAATGACATTTTTAGCCATGGATGACAATGCTGAACTGTCTGCACTTGCTTATATTTTACAGATCATTATTTCCAATTTTGTGTACCAGGTTTCTCAACTTTTTTCCAAACTCATAACTGATGCCAGTAATGTCCACCAAAAAATAACAAATATTTCTCTTTTTTCTATAACAATAATTTCTAGTAAAAAGGACTAAATTATGAGAAAACATACAGCTGCCAAATAATTAAATTTGTCTTTAAAGGTTAAACTAACCCTGAAAAAATAAACAAGATTATCAGTCATAGCCATTGTTCTAGAAATAAATGAAGCCAAAAAACATAACAAACCCACGTGAAACAGTTATTAGACTTCTTGATATCTTTTGTGAAAATTCTCTGCAGTTTTAGCATGTTGAGAATATGCATTGTTAAAAGACTGAGAAGTCCTCTACAGAGTAATCTTTCACTACCTCCTGTTCACTAAAGAACACTTTTTCCCAGATAATATCAAATGTTCACTCTTTTCCAATTATTAAAGATAAATATTAGTGATAAGACTTGGACTGGCAAAAATGGTTGCAATAAAGATGACACTCAAGAGGCATTTTAATCCTTTCTAAACTGATTCCGAAAATTATATTCGTCCTTTTGCATGTACAAGCCTATTGTCATAACTTGTACTTTTATTATCATTGCTTTCAATTTACATCTCTAGGAAGGTGATCTTTGCTTTCTTTGCGTTCGTGATTATCATTACACTTTCCTCTTTCTTCATTCTCACAGTATCTTTACCACTCACCTCAATTTTTTTCTGATATGTAACTGTATTTTGGTACCAGCTATCTTATTTTTTCAGTTACTATATTCCAGTATAAATTAATTTTTTTGCTAACATTTTAGCATTCATAAAATCTGCTAATCAACAGAGCAAAAGACTGAAAGCTTGTCCATACACCAAAAATAGGTATGGAGATTTCTCAAAAAATCTCAGCCTATTCATGAATACCACAGTAACTGTGGGTTAGATCCAACACAAATACTTAGAAAAAAAGGCACAGCAACCATACTGCACATTTCCAGAGTGAAATTTGAGAGAGGTTTCCTGTAAATATGTACAAAAAGTCAAACTGTTCATCTTCTGGAGGCATTAGTAGTGTAATGCACCATCTCACCGGGTCATTTTTTTTGTTTAGGATGTTCAAAAGCCACAAGCATAAGAAACACCTAAAGAAAGATCACTCACAAAGCTTTAGATAACAGTGCTGCACAGAGTTGAAGGGACTTTGAAGCAGAAATGGTCCTTTATATAAAAACAGAGAATACCCCGTAACCTAAAAATTTGGTTCTGATTTTGTGGATCTAATTACTAACATTTTGATACCCAAGAAGTCTCCAAATTAACTTGTATAGCTGGTCCTCCTTTGTGTCTAGCCTTACAGCAGCCATGTGAGAAATGCACAGATGCAATGTTTTGTTTCATTTTGGAAAGCTTTTTCTCTGAAGCTCTTATTTCTGGACCATAGACATGACAGCAGACATTAGTTAGGCAAAGCTACTCAAAGAGATCTGCACATTATGCTCCAGAGGAACAGATTGTGATGTTTGTGAGAGTGCTACACACACGAGCTCATCTGATCCCTTGCCTCACCTCCCAGGGCTTTCCCTTCTGTGCTCATGAGCTTTAGCCCTGGGAGTGAATTTCACTGCGCCTAAGCAGAAAAGCTGTTGACTTTATCACAGAACTCTCAGAAAACTTCTGTATAGGGTTAGACTCCAGCAATTCAGCTCCTTGATGTTTCCACAGTTTTAAGAGAAGTCTGCAAAGAGAGACAGCTCTGAGGAGCTCTCAGCTGCCTGTCCTGAGCAGACACGTGCAATGCTCTGCCCTGGCATTTCTAGGGGACTGGTGGCATCAGGGCACATATGTTGTATTTCTGTAGCACAGAAGAAAGCCGTATCCTAGCTGCCAGGATGAAATGGAGACCTCTAGTCATCTGGAGATGATGACAAGTTATTTGAGGATGTTGCTATGTGAAAGTTTACAGCTATACCCAGGAAGGACCTTAGACCACTTTCTTCATCAGTCCTAGTCAGGAAACAGCTTCTTGCAGGGAGACAGGAATGGGACTCCTTATCCCCTGAAAGATGGAGGCAGAGATCTTGAGCATATATCTGGGAAGTGGAAAAGTCCACTCAAAAGCTACTTTACTGCCCAGGCAGATGAAGCGTGTTTGAGTTTGGGCCTTTTCACATCTGTGTGGCTGAGTTATCCTGTAAGATACCAGCTCCAGAGGAATCACCAGCTCCTTGTCCATTTCCTTCACACCACAAATAGAAGACTTTCTCAGGCATTCATCTCCAGAGCAGGGTTGTGAGGTTTGAATACCAAGGAAAACATTTCAGTCTGGCAGTTAGATAGTCTGCTCCTTGAATGGAGGACTTCTAGATACAAACAATCATCTCATCACTTCCAACTGACTAATTTAAGCGGCTTCCAACTTATTTTGACAGCTTCTCTGAATTCTATTTCTACAGCCTAATGTCCCCATGTAAATTGTAAGATATGAGCATGTCACCGATTTCCAAAGAAGCAGACATTGCAATGCTGAGCATGGTGTTGTCCATCATGTTTTTATGGATTAAGCCTTCCCAGCAGTGAAGTATCTCCGCAGTACCCCCAGCCTGGTCAGCTACACTGGCCTGTGGTGACTACCCAGCAACCCTGCCAACAACGTGCTAGAATTTCAGACTCTGCACTCACTGTAAAATTAACAATGCATTTCTTTGGGAGAATAGACAGGGCAATGCTGAACCTTTTGCAATTCTTCCTGATGGAGTAAAGAGATGTAATGTTTTCCTACACTGTCTATAAGTTTTCTTCAGTCCTAACACGAAGGAGTGTCCACAGAAAGATGAATGGTCTTGATCCTCAAGACTATTAATACCTTGGATGCCCTATTGAGATTGACAAAACATGTCATTAAATAGAAGCCTGATCCAGTCCCAGTTAACTTCAGAGAAAACTGCACTGTAATCTCAGAACTAACTGGGGTGACAGGTTCTTCATTATGGGCATTTACCTACAGAGAATTTGATGAAAACCAAATTCAGATCGCATAGGTCTGGTTACACATCTTGTTATTACCAAGCTGTGCTCAATTAGGAGAAAAAAAGGCAACCTACTTTTGAAAAGCTTTATATCCCATCATCAATATCTCAAGCCTTCTAATATATTTTAATTTTGATTTAATAGAAGTTGAACTTAAGTTTTACTTTTCATCATAACAATTTTAATGTTTGAAAATATTTATATTATAAATCCTACTGGCTACACTTGTCTGCTTTAAAAATTCAATGATTAAGTAATTTTTTTCAGAAGAGTCAGAAGTAGTCCTTACTTTAGGGTTCTGTGTTGGCACAAGGTAAAATATTTTTACAACACCTCACCATTATTTATCAATAAATATTCTTTCTATATTATTATTTCTAAATATTATTACTATCCAGGCATACACATAACTCATATTGGCATTAATAAGAGTCCCACATGCAGGGCAAGGGCACAAATAATATTTTTGTAATTCTATTTGGTTTTAATGAACATTTTTCAGATTTTCTGGATAATAATGAAACAGTCAAGAATTCTCACAAAGCAACAAACAGTACAGCAACTACTATAACTTGAATTTCTTATTTAATGAGTTTGTTAAAGCACAATTTATAAGATTAGTAGACTGGTATAACTAATGACAGAATCTATATCTCAGATATACTTGTTAATTTTTAAAACAGTTGCAAAAATTTTTTCTCTATAGAAAGGCAACTGACCAACCTTTTTTCAGGGAAGGTTCCACTTCACCTAAACCAGGAGAAAAGAACAAACATCAGAGAAGGGATATCATAATAAAAAAAATAAGGGTTTTTCTCAAGTTGGCTAATTTTAATTAAAAAAAGAAATCTATTCTTTATATGCTAAATAGCAAGCACTCTATTCTGAGATTCTGGATTTTTCATAATGTATCTTTCTTACCATAGAGGTTTTCCTGGGTCTGGGTTAGACAAATTCAATGCGCAGTAGTAACCAAGGAAACGTCCAAATCTGTGTTTGTGCTTCTGAATATTAACCTGTGACTACAATTTAAAATTTGGTTGATTTTATGTATGTTTCCATGTTTTGAGGAAAGGCCCAGCAGTTCCATTTTATCTCCAAATTATATAAAGTATATGCAGGTTAGCAAGGTTGTAAATCTAGCAATGCTTCCAGTGAAATCCAAGGCAAAAAATACTCAATTTCAGTGCAACTATGAGCACCTGATTGCTGCAGTGTGTTATCCCACCTCCTGGTAGGACATGAAATATAGAGGAGTTAGCCCGAATGACTGTCGTGAGTGTGCAGCCTCATCTGCACTAACTGGAGTGCAGAGTGGGCAGGGAGTTCACATGCACATACTTTTTATGATATAGCACAGTAAGTTGCCTACTGCCTTTTCACACTCCTGGTAGATTTTGATGAAGGTTCACTTGGGCCAAGGGCTGGTAGGACTGAGGTTTCCCAATACTTAGTGATCATTCAGATCTTGAATTTTTGTATGTCAGGTATTTTATGACCTTTCCTACTTGCATTAACACTTGCACACTCAAGTATTTGACAGTTTGCAGGTGCTTTGGGAGCTCTGAAGTGATAAAAATGAACACTGTTCAAATTTTAGCAAGCTCTCCATGTTTCACCTTTTCTGTTTCTCAACCATACGAGAGACTGGCTTTCTGATAGTTGTAAATCATATCTCAGAATAGGATGCTCAGTTCACAGACTCACATGTAACAGCATATCTATCAATGATAATAGAAAAAACTCATGCACACTTTTAAAAGGTAGAAACTTTATAATATCTCAAGTTTATGAACAAACAGGTAGAATTCAGTTTCAGTACATGTTGCTTTTTAATTATATTCTGATATAGCCAAATGGAATATAAAATAAACTACCGTGAAATGAAGTTGTCACTCCTACACTCATCGCTTGTCAAAATGACCAATATGATGTGACATGATGATCCACTACTGCTCTGCTCATATCAAGGAACTACTTTTTTTATAACAGAAGGATAGTAATTTCAAAACTTGAAATGTTAGCAGTTTATTTTCCTTTATCATATTATTTCATATTAAGAATGTTACTATAATGGCAGAACCATAATTTCTAGTAAACGGAATTATTTGCAATATGCCACTGAAAATCCCCTTAGTTCAGCCAAAATGTTATTTTTTCTTTCTTCTTTTTTGTTTCAATATATTGTCCTGTCATCAATACATAAAATAAAAATGTTCTAAGTTTCTGGGTCTATCTTGTATATTTACCGTCCTTCTTTAGATTCTTGCTGATTAAAAGAAAATAGCTATTGCCATTCTCTGAAGCAATACCCTGATGCATATTTTGGTTGTAGCTTTGAAGTCTTGTATAAATTAGTTGTCTTTACTTCAAGATGTACTAATGGTAATATTTAATTCTGACAGCTTTTCTGTAATGGTACATTAAACATGAGATGAAAGCTAACAAAGAGACCAATTTACTGATTGGAATAGCCAGTAGATGCTTTATTAGCAACAACATTCACTTTTCATTTTGTTTGACCTTTTTGTCTGTGAGGTTAAAAGCTGAGTAAGCCAACATAATGCATGTAAAACAGCAGTTAGAGCAGTTACAGAAGTCTTTACATTACAAATACCTTCATCACTGTCATCATCATCACTCCATACGATGTCAGACAGTAAAGAAATAAAGCCATAAAGCCAATCAGTGGATTCTTCCAATGTCTCATGAATGATTCTCAGTGGTTCTGTGCTGAGCTTGTTAACAGATCTTCCTGAGTGCAGAGTTTAAAACAAAAGCGATTTGAAAAAAAAAAAAAAATACTCCTTCAACGATTAAAGTTAATCTTCATTTCATACAGGACTAATTATACTACCTCCTTTAACAGAAACAAAGATTGTGAATGTTAATTTTTATTATTCAAAGGTTTGAGGACACATCTCCTTCCTGTGCAAGTCTGGCATAAACTGCATCCTACTGTACTTGTTCACAGAGTGATTATGGATCCAGTGGATAATTTGGTCTGATACTGCGCTCCAAGTTCTGGCTCTTCTGAGGCTTGGTTGAGCAATGTATAAATATAAATTTGTTTCTACCAAATATTCATATTTATAGATAATCTCTTCCTTTGAGCCCATTTTTTTTTTCTCTGGCTCAGGTCCTCTGCTTATTGATGCCTGATTAAGATTCATTGCTGTCTGTGTCCCACTCCTGCTGTCACAGCTCTTCCTGAGTGCCCTCCTTTACTGAAGTTCTGGCTGAGGAAATTGCTGAGCCCTGGCTTAACCACATGCAGGTCCTATCATTGCCATGGCGTACATGTAATGGATGGGAAGAATAAAGCTGTGCATACTAAGGCCAAAATAAGCCCGAGTCCAGAATGAAGGGGAATGTAAATCCAAATTGTGACAGACAATACTTTCAAACATGTACTCCTGTGTATCTCATTATTTTCTTAAAACTTTTCTAGTTTCTTTCACACATCTGCATACTTAGCTAGTTCTGGTCTTATCGCTCCTGTAGGCAAGTAATCTAGCAAACAAGGAAGTTGTGCAGTTAAATGTGCTTCACCTTCCTGGGACCTCTAAGGGACATGAGGTCCCTGCTCCTCACCTAGGGAGAGGAAGTATCAATGGCTAATACAAGTACACACTTAAAAGCTTTTCCAGTTGTGATTTCACCAGATTTCTCCCTACCCTCTTTATGCTGGCATAGTAGTTCAGAGAAACTTTCCGGCCTCTGACAGAATATTTCTTCTGATTTTTCTGTCCAGTAAAATTTACTTTCTTGAAATCTGTACCAAATACTGCTTAGGAAGAGGGACAACTGTCATCCAGTCTATGTTACTGTACTTAAAATGGTGGACTGAATGATTGCCCTATGTGTGTGTGAAGGTTTCCCACAAATGTAGACAATTGAAGGTAGATCGCAAATATGATTTGAGTTGTTGGCTTAGTCTTGTTCCTAGGAATTTCAACAGACATATGTACACTGAATTTAAGAGTATAAAGATGGGAAACATATCTCTGTTTATCACTATTTTTCTCTATGCAAATATTTTAATAGGAAGTTAAACAGAAGTCTCTTCAGAACTACTGTTTGCAGTGTTCTGAGTCACAAACCAAATCTTAGCAGTAATCAGAAGTAGTCTCACATGGACTTGCAGGTTACAGACAGGTAAAGTGCAGGTTTGAAGCAACTTCTTTGATGGCAGAAGTATGAACAGTAATTTTCTAAAAGTGCTGTAATGAAATATACAAGTAACTTTATATAAAATATAAATGTATCACTGAATAATTCCTTTTATTTCTAATTAATTGATCTGAAACAGAAAAGACCAGGATTATTTTCTATTATTTTACATCTGTTTACTAACAATGTAGACCAATGAAATATTTTGGTTAATGTTTTTTTGAAGACTGCATTAGATAGATATATGCTACTGAACAATCAAGCACATCAAATAAATTAATTGTGTGCCATGATGAAATGACATAATTGCCAAGAAATATGCATGATTTCTTCATTTAACGTATTACTGTGTGCACTATTCAGAAAGACTGAACAATATAACAGGGAATATTTAAGGTATTGATTTATTTACATCGGTCTTGTGCATTGCGATGTAAAGATTTTATTTTTTCAATTGATTTGTCACAAATGCTCTTCTGAAGTGTTTACCAGGAGAATTAATATCTATATTTAGGCTATTTAAAAATAAATCTGCAACCTGACCCCTGATGTCATTTGCACTTTATTCGAACCTAGGGGTGCTAAGGAGTCCAAGCGGACTAATGGAATGGACATGGCCAGAGGGGTCTTAGCATAAGTGAGGTTTTGATTCACAATCAGGGATGGTTTAACTTTGGACAGCTGGCTTGATTTCCACTCTGGCTATCCTTTCCCTACTGGTTGGTTAGGGATGGCTCAGTTGCTTTTACAGCCACAGGCTTTTCAGCTGCAGGGACTACAGCTGTAAACTAAACAAGAATTGGTGTCAATTTATTTTAATATACTGGTCTATCAACTGGCAGTTCAAGAACTGCTTCACAGGTAGAAGAGCTGTCCCCCCAGGCAGGCAAGAGAAATGCTCAGAGAAGGGCAAGATCAAGAGCAGAGGAAATTATTTCAACCACCCCAAGGCAAGCCATCTTTGCTGATGAGTCAGTCCCCTCAACATCATATCCTGGTCTTTAATTCGTAACATCTTCATAGCAAACTATGAAAAGGGATTAGAAATTTTAAGTGTCCAAAGGCGAAATTCTCCAGTCATGCCTACACTAACAGACCCATGTTTCAAATCTTGTTTAACATAGAAAGTTTAGAAAAATCATTTTGTGGCTGTGTAGAGGACACTTTAGTGGTATTTTCAAAATTAAAATTTGTATACAAACAGATACTGTGAGATCCACTTGCAGTCTGATGCAAGTGCCACAGACCTGGGAAGTTGTCTCCCTGTGCATAGATCTTCTGATTAACTTCTGCTGTATCTCCTACACTTAAAAAAAAAATAGTGGTAACAGTAACGATGTGTCCTAAAATGTTTAAGAACAGCACACCCGGTAATGCTGAAGTGAAAATTACTACTGATCAAATCCATGCTTTTAGCTGTCCCCACAACTTTGACAATAGCAGGTTCTTTCCCTAGTAGAACAAAACATAAGAAACAATGGAAATGAAGCAATTCAGGGGGTAACAAGTAGAGAGAAAGATGTCATTTATCTCACACATATGCAAAGAAAGATAACCATATCCAGAGGATTTTCATACTCTTACTTCAAGAGTGAAGCTGAGAGAATGCAGATTTTCATAACAAACTTTGAGCTTGATATTTTGATGCAATATCTTTTTTTTTTTTTTTTTTCCTTTTTTATTTACAGATGTCCAGTAAGGGTACAGTATGATGATTTTTTTTTTAGAATACTCTTGGATTCAATACATTCAGATTGAATTAGTTGTCCTTTGTCCAGCTTTTCATTTCTTAGCAGACCTTAGAACACAAATTATTTTAAAACTAAGCTCACAATATACATCTCTTGAAAGCATATGTTATGTAGTATGTAATATCTAATTTGTAACTAATATACAAGTATAAAATGTAATGAATATATGATATATCATATAGCATCTATTGTGCTGGATGTAGAAGGAGAAGGACCTTGAATTTAAACTGTAAAGAATCTTTATGAATACAGAATATTTCTCAGATAGAGACAGTCTGTGAAGTTCTAAGTTTTTTTGAATTTGTAAAGAGAGACTGAGCCAATTGTTCCTCTGAGATAACGTAGTAGAAAAATACTAAATGTCTGTCAAAGGAGGAAGGGGGAGAAAGGAAGTGAATGGTTACTCAGCAGGTTAAGATCAGGGAAGAAGCATGCAATTAATATTGAAGAATTTTGTTGACAGTATGTAATTCCGTTTAGTCACAGCTTAAATTCAGATTGTCCTATCTAGCCAAATGTACCTGAAAGCCAGATGTTGAATCCCTGGTGGTTTCTAGACTCCCTCAAAAGCCAAAGCAGAAAGACATATTGTGACCTTCAGAAGGCAAGTCTCTTGCTTTCCTCTGCATATTTTTTAGGGTTATATGAATAAATTTCCAAAGATGCCCATCTTTTTCCATTGACTAGGAAGGAAAGAAAGCCTGAAATATTAGTGTGGACATGACACCTTATCTTCATATGACTGAGGTATGTGACATGGATCCTATTAGTGGTGCTGTTTTATATTTAAATCCTTCTTGTCATTGTACACTTTGGCTAAGCACTTAGATTTGTAACTTTACATTCATAATTAATGCCAGGTCAATATGACTATTCACCTCAAGAAATTACTTGCATTCCAAAACAACACTGATACCACCAACAATGCTTTGCTATAACATTTTGTCATGGTCTTTTATTGCTTGGTAAAGTATAAGAGATGTTTTTCAGTTCAGTAAAAGTTCAGATCTACTTGTGCTTATACTTTCACTGCTATGAGAATAATTAACAGCTTTACCTTTTTTTTTTTTTTTTTTCTTTTTTCCTATTAGTGCAGACTTCAAAACTTTAATTCTAAAGTCTTGGAAAGTGCTGAAAATTGAGAGTTAAAGCTGACAGAGAAAGAATCCCAGTCAAATTGAAGGACTTTGTATACTACCTTTCAGCAAAATCTAATTGTAGTAAAGCAGCTGAATTTGGTTGGAGAATGTCTGTTACCTGTGACCTTGTAGATATCTGTAAGAAGCTTTGAAAGCTTGTTTGGATTTTCTTTACTAAACATATGCAAACTTGTTTAACAAAATCTTCAATAAATAATTTCATTTGTAATGTAGGCATTAAATACTTCTGAGAACTTCCAGTATATTTTAAAACTGTCTTTCATGATCATTACATCAAAATTAAACTGCTACTATTCTTTGTATCTCTCCAACATTACTGATACAGAAATAGTAATTGGATTCAAAATGTAAGAACATGAATTCTGATCAACTAATTTCTTCAGTTTTGAAGTCTACTTGGCTCACAATTTTGACTCTGATTGATTTAAAAATAGAATTCAAACATTTAATGGTAATTAATAACTCACATTTAACACAACTCTCTGTATTCAACCAATGACATATTTCCAAAGTCCTTCAATCAGAGTTAGGTGCATTCTTGGGACAGAAGATAATTTCCATAAAGTGACAAAGTCACTTCAGCTTCAGTAAAACTGTGCTGTTTTTCAAACAGAAGAAACCTTTTTTTCATCAAGACTAATAATGGGTCCTTTAACAGTGGCTTTTGGAAA